CGGGGGGTGCACCCACCCACTGAGACAGTGGGGCTGATCTATTGGGAGCTCACCAAAGCCAGCTGGACTGTGACGGGAACAGCATGGGATAAAACCGGACTCTCTGATCATGGTGAACAATGAGGACTGATGAGAAGCCAAGGTCAATGGCAAGGGGTTTTGATCCTACTTCATGTTCTGGCTTGGTGGGAGCCTAGCCAGTTTGGATGTTCACCTTCCTAGACATGGAGGGAGGGGGGAGGACCTTGGACTTTCCACAGGGCAGGGAACCATGACTGCTCTTTGGATAGGAGAGGGAGGGGGAGAGGAGTGGGGGGAGGGGGAGAAGAGAGGAGGAGGGGGAGAAGAGTGGGGGAGGGGGAGGGAAATGGGAGGCTGGGAGGAGGCGGAAACTTTTTTTTTCTTATTCTCAATAAAATAAAAAAAAATGAAAAAAAAAATAAAAGACCGATGTTGGCCTCAGACACATACCATTTGTTTTGAAAGGAGTCTATGTTACCTGCCAATGAGCTGCCATGTCGCCCACCATGAGCCCAACTCTAAAGAGATGTAAACTCTGAGGCCTGGGACCTAAGTTTCTGGAACTCACAGAATAATCTTAAATTTGCAATATCCAGTTTTCCTCATGTGATCCACGAAGCAACAAGTGGCCTTATCTATTAAAGTTGAAAATACACATACTTGATATCCAGCAACTCTGTTAGTAACAGCAAGAAACGCTTACAGAGTACAAACTGTAAAACCTAGCCATTTTGTCTATATGGCTAAAAATTGAAAGCAATCCAAACGTTCATCAAAAACAAAATTTGCAAAATGTGTAGCCATAAAACACAGCACCTTATACCAAGGGAAATGATTCAAGCTCTGCTTTTGGGAACAGCAACACAGCAATCTCTCACTCCTGCAATGTTGGTCAAAGAAACTAGATACAGAGGGGCCCATGTTGCCTGAGTCTATCATCTCGGGAGATCAGCATATATGCATCTGTCGTATTATAATCCCAGAACAGCAGAAAATATTGGCACTCGCAGACTCACTTTATATATTATACACTCGGTTTATATATTACAAATAAACACCCTTCATGGCCTCTGCATCAGCTCCTGCCTCCAGGTTCCTGCCCTGTTCTGAGTTCCTATCCTGACTTCCTTCCTCTCCATAATGAACAGTGATGTGGAAGAGTAAACAAAAACAAAGCCTTTCTTCCCCAAGTTGCTTTGGCCATGGTGTCTCATCACAGCAATAGAAACCCCAACTAAGACATCTTGGGAGAAGGAAAGAGATCTCAAATAAATACCTGGGAAGCAGGTATTTTGGGGATGCATTGTATGAAATTCCCACATAATTGATAAAATATTATGTTGGGGGAGGGAAAGAAGGAGATAATAATTTTACCTTGCAGGTTTGTTCAGTCCCTCACATAATACATTCAAAAAAAAAAAAACGATTCTTGAATGCTCACAGGTGAAAAGCATTCTGCAGAAAAGGGCTCACCATCTCTGAGGTTTCCTTGCATTGGTCACATGACTCCAAATGCCCTGTGGATGCTCCATGAGGACAGCTTCGCTGTAAGCATGGAAGAAGATTTATTAGGACAACAGTAAATTACTTTTCTGTGCTTAAGGTCTCAGCTTCCAAACCTCCAAAGTATTCAGGTACTCATTCCATATGAAAATACAATACATGCACTAAGGACTATTATTTTCATTTAATAAGTGAGACGTTGGTGCTCAATAAAACAAAAGTTTCACTGGTAGCCCCTCGCTGATCCTATGCTAGAAACCTCTACCATTCTAGATCTGTTTTTACCAAAAGAAAAAATAGGAAGGTAGAGGGTTAGTTATTTAGTCTTAGTTACTTTTACATTGCTGTGAAGAGGTACCATGATCAAGGCAACTTATAAAAGAAAGCATTTAACTGGAAGCTTGCTTGCAGTGTCAGGGTGAGTCCATGATTATCATGGTGGGGAGAATGAGAACAAGCAAGCAGACATGTCACTGAAGCAATAGCTGAGAGCTTATATCTTATCCACAAGTTAGAGGCAAAGAGAGAGGAGAGTGGGAGGAAGTGAGGGAAAGGGAGAGAGGAAGAGAGGAAAAAAGGGAGAGAGGGAGAAGGAGAAAGAGAGAGAGAGAGAGAGAGAGAGAGAGAGAGAGAGAGAGAACAAGCAACTGGCTTTTGAAACCTCAAAGTTCATTTCCAGGGGCACACCTCCTCCAACAAGGACACACCTCCTCCAACAAGGACACACCTCCTCCAACAAGGACACACCTCCTAATCCTTTCCAAAACAATTCCACCAAGTAGGGACTAAGCATCCAATTATATGAGCCTTTGGGGACCATTCTCATTTAAACCACCACAAAGATGTCAGTTATTGATCTAAAGTCCAAAGCCATTTCATATTCATTCTACAGTGCTTCATACCAAAATGCTAATTATTGTGGGATTATCTTAAAGAGAGGGAATTTGATTCAGAAGAGCAGAATAAAATTACTCAAGCAAGCACTAGAATTCTATGACATAAACCAACCCTTGCAACTCACCAGTGTCTGCCTGTTAGTTCTTCTGCTGTCTGCTTTTGGAACCACATCTGGTTCATACACAGGAAGTCATGGTGGCATCAATGGAACATCATAGTGTCCATACTTCCAAAGGGTCACAATTGGATGATGTCCAAATCCAGTCCTATAGGCAGAATTCAAAGTTTTTCATAATCAGAGTCTGCCCAATGGTACAAAGATTTGGAAAATGGAGTTACGTCTTTACTTCATATTCTGCACAAAAATGAAAGTGGATGAAATATTTTTTTAAAATACTTATTTATTTATTATGTATACAATATTCTGTCTGTGTGTATGCCTGCTGGCCAGAAGAGGGCACCAGACCTCATTGTGAGCCACCATGTGGTTGCTGGGAATTGAACTCAGGACCTTTGGAAGAGCAGGCAATGCTCTTAACCTCTGAGCCATCTCTCCAGCCCCATGGATNCAGCTGCTATAGGACCCAGATCCTAACCTGAGTAACAGCACCCTCAACCCACCTGCTGTAGGACCCAGACCTGAGTAACAGCACCCCCAACACACACCTGCTGTTGATAGCGTATCTTCACTGAAGGTGTCTTCCCAAAAAGGCTTTTGCTGCTGTAGCGAGTCAGTTTCTGAGGTTAATATTTCTGTCTCCTGTTGTACTTTCACTGGGCATCGAAGAGATTCCACAGACTATGTTCACTGTCAGTGGGTTTTTAACCTGATTCCCGGGACATTTCCCCCCTTAACTTTAGGAGCTTCAAAGAAGATGCTCTATTACATTTTGTTTATTGTCTACACTTGAAGCCATAGAATTGTCTTGGGAATCTCCTCCTTTGGTCTTTACAAACACAACTCAAAAGGAAATGTCACTGTTTGGTAAAAATAATTCCTTAAAATACATCTTCAGTTGGCAAGGGAATTTTAGAAAAGTTTTTGTTCAGATCAGTTTTTTTAGTGACTAAGAAGTTTGCATCATGGCAAGGTTTTAATTTTGTTGGGACCACCCTTTACTACTGGTAAACAGTCTCTAAATCTGCTGTCTAACAGAGGTTACTTTTAATTTTTATGTCTCTTTAGCCTCTTCTAATCTGGAATCTTTTCCCTGTGTTTCTTTGTCTGTTATGACATTGTGGCATTGACTTTTTTAGTTTGAGACAAGGTTTCTCTGTAGCTTTGGTGCCTGTCCTGGTTCCAGGACATTGATATTTTTAAGCACACTGTTGACCAAGGTTTCTGTTGGGCCCAGTTCCTGCAGTCGTTAAGTCCCAATGAAATCACACAGAGGTCTATATCGATTATAAACTGATTGACCTAGTATCTCAGGCTTCTTATTAACTCTTATAACTTATATTAGCCCATAATTCTTGTCTGTGTTAGCCATGTGGCTTGGTACATTTTTTGGTGAGGCAGTCACATCTTGCTTGCTCTGTGTCTGGATGATGACAGCAGACTAAAACTTCCCTCTTCCCAGAATTCTTGTTGCCCCGCCTATACTTCCTTCCTGGCTACTGGCCAATCAGCATTTTATTAAAAATAATACAAGTGACAAGATAAAGGATCATTGTCCCACAGCAATGCAGGGTGTGTAAGAGAACAGGATCACCCAGAGATTTTTATCAGCACCCTGCTAGATGTCAGGGGATGACTTACCGTGAAGTCCTAACTACTTAAGTATCTTCTAACCCAGATATTTCATTTTATGACCTTTGTCAAAGTAGAGACATACAAAAATTTTAAATATTGAAGCTTTTTTTTGGTTTGTTGTTTATTTTTCGGATAGACTCTTGTTAATTCCCCAGGCTGCTTTGAACTCAACTCATAATCTCAAGTAAGCCTCCTATCTCAGTCTTTCTGTTAGCTATAGCCCTCCATGGGTCTAAAGCTGTGAGCCACCATGGTTGCTATGGTGCATTGTTTTAATCATTAGTAAGCAAAAATGTTGCCTTAAATTTAATATCGTTGGGCTAGAATGATGACTCGGCAGCTAAGAGCACTTGTTCTTTCCAAAGGCCAGCGTTAGGTTCCCATTACCCACATACTGGTTCACAACCATTCGTAGCTCCAGGTTTTGATGTCTTCTGACTCCTGTGGGTGCAAGGCTGCACATGGTGCATATGCATATGTACAGGCAAATAATCACACACATGAAGTAAAATAAATACAAATGCTTTAAAATTTAGTATCCTTAATGTCTAGTATGGTGTCAAGTACACAGAATTTTCGTTAATGGTCACACCCAGATAACATCACCAACCTAGTATTAGTTAATACTGAATAGTCATCAAGTCACAGGACTGAAGAGATGTTGAACTCTAGATAGGACTAAATATTGTGGAAATGAAGAAACCAAAGATGCTAGGTCTTTCTCAACATGTAAATGAGCATCTCCTATAAGCTGGGCTTCGTTCATGGTCTGGTTACACTAATACAACTTTGCAAAAGTCTCAGTCCTTGTTTTACAGCAAGGTCAGTTCAGTCAAGGTCAACACAATCTTGGATAGTATTAATATTTGGTTTGGACAGTAACTGGCTTAGCAATGATATCAAATACATTTCACCAAACTAAAGGGATGAGTATAAAGCAGATTACCTCCAAATTTGCTCTGATGCTAAGCCTAGAGGTAGCCTTGCCTTCAAGAGCACAGCCATCCTAGTAACCCTCATGCCTGCCCCTCCACCTCAGAACGCCAAAAAGAAACGCGGTGAAACTTCATGATGAGTTACAATATTAAAAGGACGACACAGGAAATAGCTGAAGACTGGTTCTTCTCTCCCCTCAGATCTCCAGAGGGAACAATGGCCTGCTTGAAAGAAAAAGGAGTTGGGTGGGGGTAAAGAGAAAGAATTCAAACAATTATTCACACCACTGTGGGTGGAATTGAGAAGGTGATTGGTATCTAAAAACACTAAACAGGTATCACCTAAACTCTGGAGAGAGCTAAAGAGCAAGAGAGGCTGCCCAGTAGGGAGAGGACTTGAAGCCACAGATGTGACCAGGAAAGGCAGAGACAGGAACTCTTACCTCTCACTCTGCCCTCTTTTCTTAAATTTCTGTACCATTGCCCTAGATCAGCCAAGTCCATCTGGGAGCCTAAAAGTCAGGGAAGCTACACAGCATCAGCCATTGAGGTCAGCTTCCTGAGGGTAACAGCCCGAAGAATCTTTGCCCAAATGTTTTCTGTACTGTACTACCCCATAGGAATGTATATGTTGTGTGGCAATTTCCCTCCGTACAATCTGCACCAGCATTAGCTCCTTCCAGCCTTCTCCAGCAGCACTGGTCCCCACTCTCACCCTGTGGTGACCTCCTCTGCCAGTTTTTCCCCAGCCCTGAACTCTGAGGTGGTTCTAACTACACTTGGAGAGTTCAGGAACAGACCTCAGGAAGCCAGCCACCTTCCCCAGGGTGTCTCAGAAGTCTGGCGCCTGGTCTGATTTCAGTGTTCTTAGGTAAGATAAAAATAGCAGACACGGGGCAGAAAGAAAACTTGGAGTAAAGCGACCCATTGAAAAGAAAAGATACAAATAGGCAGGTGTACTTGGCTGAGAATTATGGATTTATTTTTCTTGGAGGTAGGGGCTGACATTTAGCATTCCTCTTACATTTCAGCCCTCCAAAGGGCTTTGCTTAGATGGGTTCCAAGCGTGGCAATGCACTGAAGATTTTGCTGAGTTTGAGGTCAGAACCATTCTTTTTCTGAAGGTAGGTATGTAAGACAGTTGTACCGGCTTTGTAGCCTAAACACTGAGCTTAGAGAACGAATGCCCGGTTTGTGCTTAGAAAAACTAACAGCTCTCCCCGACTAAGCTGTAAAAACAGAAGCTGCATTTAGCCAGAGATCACCGCCTGAGACTTCTGGGTCCCAGCCCACTCTTGTACCCACCTCCCCCAAGGCCAACCCAAGAAAAATTCATAAACTTTGAAGATGTGCTGTTTTCTCTGTTCTCCGGTGATGGAAATATTTTATCTGTCCCCATTCTGATTACTCAGTGAGGCAGATGTCAAAAACTTATGAGAGCCTGCACACAGAGCTCAGAGCCCTCTTAGCCCACCCAAGCACTGCCTGAAATTTGTGTGACATTATTCATGAGAGCCCCTCCACCCACAACTGAACTCCAGACCATCCAAATTCCCTCAGTAGGAGGGGTGAATCATTCATGAGTCTTCACCCAGCAGATGAGTCTATGCCTGAGGAAACCCTCTTGTGATTTGTCTTTACACACACTGTATTGTTTTTCTTAATTAAGCTTTAGGACCCCACTAAGCCTTTTGTACACACAAGGTAATATTTATAATCTTTAGTGTTTGACAGATCCACCACGAGTCCAGTGTTCCTGCTTCATTTCAGATGGACTTACGTTCCTAGAAAGAAACCTTTTTTAACGGGAATTTAAATCAAACAGTCTTACAGACAGCAAATAAAGATACCTTGCTATAATGACACCTTGGGTTTGGGGGATTTTAGAAGATATCTAAGTGATGCTTCTCTAGATGAATAGTAAATGGTTCCTTCTAACTCTGCCCACAGTAAGGGAAAGAGAATGAGGTAAAAGTAACAGAAACTAATCAATGGCGTTCTCATCTTGTTTAACTAGGAGTGGCGGGGCTGAGTCCCCGGCACCTGGCCGCCCGCATGGCTAGCTTATGCCCGAAATAATTACACGGAAACTGTATTCTTTCAAACACTGCCTGGCCCGGCTAGTTCCAGCTTCTTATTGGCTAGCTCTTACATATTGTTCTAACCCATTTCTAATATTCTGTGTAGTCCACGAGCTGGCTTACCAGGGAGGATCTTAACCTGCGTCTGTCTGGAGCGGGAGAATCATGGCGACTCCTTCACTAAGCTTCTTTTTCCCAGCATTCTCTTCTGTCTACTCCACCTACCTAATTTTCTGTCCTATGAGGGCCGAGGCAGTTTCTTTATTATTAACCAATCAAAGCAACAGATAAGATACAAGACCCACCTCCATCATCATCTGGGCTTTCCCTAAATTTAGATACCAGGGAAACCCTCACTAGGCCCAACTTGGCTTCTCTTCCATTAGCCCTCTTCTCCTTTAGGGATGCCCCCTGAATCGCAACCCCAAATAGGCTTTCTCCAGGACTTACAACGGCCCATGGGATCCTGAGAGCACAGGAGGGAATCATAGGACACTCTCTACATCTCTCATTGACCCTGGACTGGAACAAGGATCTTTGGAACCCAGGGCAGCTAGAGCATGGCTCTTGAGAAGTAGCTTCCCCTTTCTGAAAGGGAGTGGAGGGAAGAGGAAATGTGTTCCACTTGCCGACTTGGGTTCTGCACACCAGAGTAGGAGATGCATTATTTTCCATCATGTCTTCAACCTCGTTCCCCAAGAAGGTCCCTGGCAACTTGAGAGAGAGAGAGAGTTCAAAATAAGATTCAGGAGACACCCAGGACCGTCTGCCCTGTTCCTACTCAAGAATGCCACTGGGGTGGCCAGCAGAGACAGTCTAGACTGGTCACCATAAGCAGAATCCTTGGAAGGAGAAGGAGAGGTACACTAAGCTGGTAAGCCTACGTGATCTGCCTCACAGTCCAGCATCCCATCCTGCCTATGGCCCTGGACCTGTGTGAAGCCCTCTCCCTATCTTTTGTGGCCAGTGTGCCCTGCTGTCAGCTGGTATGAGAGGAACTCTAATATACCAATTTTGTGGAAAACGAGGCTCAGAAGGAGCCAGCCTTTTGCAGAATCTACATCAGAATTCACGTTTGATCCCAACCCTTGAACTCTCTCTTGCTGCAATGATCAACTTTAAAGATAGGGACAACAGAAAGCAGGAAGCATTTTGCCCAGAATTTACCAAGAAACAGAGACTACAAAGCTGAATATTCAGCAGGAAGGAAGGAAAGCTTCAGGTACCAATACTTTCAGAGCCTTCCCTTTCCGTGGAGATGGTTTCCTAGAAACTCCACTCCACCCCTACTATTGGGACGGTTGACCCCTCCCAAGCTCACAGGGGTCTTTTGGCCTCCTCCTTCCTGGAACTGGAACCGGTCTGTCACTCCAGTCCCTCAGGCTTTATTCCCCACCAAATACTGCCTAACCCAGGCACTGTGGCCAAGATCCCCATGTGGAGCGGGAAAGCACTGCCCTAGCACCTGTCTGCATTCCTGTAGACTTGAGAAAGTCAGTGGGTGCTCAGATCGGGAATGCACTTCTCACACATGCCCCTCAGACTCAGTCTGAGTGGCCTCTGTCCTCAGTTCTTCCCTGGTCTCTCAGGAGAGTGACCAGCTTTATCCCCTTTCCAGCACCTGCAGCGGTTTTAGAAGCCCCAGCTGCAGTGTAAACTGACCTTCAACCCCTTCACTGGGCTTTATTTATTGAAACCACTTCTCTTGGCAGGGGGTGTTGGGGGTGGTCATGGGGAGGTCAGAGAGGGGAACCAAGATTCACAATAGAAGGTATTTTTTGGCTTGATGAGAGGAGGGGAGTGTGGTAGGGGCAGTGCAATCCCCAACCCACTGCACCTTCAAAGCATTTGGGAACACAAATTTACATCAGACCTGCTGGATCCTATCTCCCAGTGCAAAACTTAGATAGAGACTCTATCTAAGTTTCAAGGAACTCTCCTTTGACTTCGCAGCATGAAACACAAGATGCCTGGTGGGGACGGAGGGACACAGAGCACCAGATGTGGCTGGGAGGATCTCAGCATCCTCAGAGGAGTCCAGAAGAGGAGACAGGCCTACTTCTTCTCATAATGACTCTCCAAAAGCCTACTTCCATGGCAAATAAAATTTGGGGAGGAAAAATTAACTTGCAGACTCTCTGGTTGGTACGTTGAAACACACCTCAGGTTTTAGGTTGGTGTTTCTTTAAGAGAAGTCATTAGGAGACGGTTCTTTGCATTCTACAGGTGGAGGGATAGTAGAGGCCAACTCTGGTAATTCGTGCTCCCTCTGCCAAGGCCCACTGAGAAGTAGGAAATGAAGGTGACTGTCACTGAGCAAACCCTTGCTGGGCAGCCCTGGCGCCCCAGGGAGCAGCTAAGGCAGGGTGGAACCCAGCAAGCAGTAAGCACTCTACACCCAGGGTAGCTCAGGACTCTGTACCCAGATTTTTCCTCCTCACTGCGTGGGCTCGGCTTTATTTATTTGCTAGTTTAAACACATTATTTAAAAACCCGACATTTCCTGTAATGCTCTGAGTAAAACGTTTTGCTTGATGGGAAATTGATGGGGTTAACTTTTAATCAATATTTTCCATTGATATGTGCTGCTGTCCCTGCGTTCTCACAGTGAGCAAAGGTGACAAACTTGCTTAGTTCAGTGACCAACCTATATCAGCACTAGGTGGGTATGATTCTGTCCATGTCCAGAGAGCTGAGAAAGGGGAGTGTTTCAATTTGATGTTGCCTGGTGGTTTATTTTGAGACCCAGGGAGAGCAGATCCAAGAGATTCTAAGCTAGAAGTCTGAGGATCTCCCTCCTCCTGACCATTCTGGATCCCTTGTCTAAATTGGGGAACCTCTCCCTGCCTGAAGCCAGTCAGGCCAACTTCAGGGCTAGTCAATTCTGCTTTAGACTCTACTTAAGGAAGGAGGACGAGGATGCTAGTAATTCCTGCCTCCTGGGATCACTAGACCACTGACAGAAGCAAATAAATGAGAATGGGGTTGGGTGGGCCGCGGGGAGGGGCATTTGTTGTACAGGAATGCTGAGAACATAGTCGGACTCTAAAGCAAGACTTGGAGCTTAAAGGACAAAGCTCGGTTAGATAAAGTCTGTAAAGTTCTCATTCTGGGAGCTGCTTAGGGCTCACTAACACCCATGATGCCCAACTGTGGCCAGAGTGTCCTTATTCTGATCCAGGAACACCATAGGGCCCAAATCACACCACTCAGCAAGTCCTCCAAGGCCCTGCTCCTCTCCCTAAGGATGCCACCCAAGCAAATGGCTCCCGGGACACCTCTTCCTATACTCCTCTGGTTAGAAACAAGCCTGTTGCAAGATGAGCTACGTTTTGCTCTGTGACCCATAAGCCAAAGAAGGAGTTTAAAGTTACAAATAACTGTGCCCCTGTCGTGATCAACAGCTGCAGTATAGCTACTGGAAGGAGTAGAAGCAGCTGCCTCAAACTGCCCACCAATCAAATTTCAATTTTTGACGAAAAAAAAATTATATAACCTCCCCTAATCACGTCAGTAATTTGGTCTCGAAATCAGAGGGGCGGGGATCAGGACACAAATACAATGGGCAAATGACAGGTTCTTTATTGTTTTTGTAAATATAGGATATGATTCATTTAATTGTCTCAAAATCATCCGTTATATAGAACTATGTAAATGTGAGGCTAATCACATTTGAATAAGCAAAATTAAACCACCAGAGGGGACTAAGGGGATGTGAGAAAGCTCCTGGGTGTGTGGAAAGTGTGGGACTCCCGTGGATTGACGGGGATGCAGGGCAGGCATGAGGAAGCTAGATACCTGGCTACTTTTTGCCCTTGGGAAAGGATTATGGTTAAAGCTGCTACCCTCGACACAAAAGATGAAATTCATTGTCTTTTCAGAGCCTTCTGCTTCCGTGACTCCTTCCTGTTAGGGTGGGCATTTGTCCTGTGAAGGGTCAAGCCTGAACCAAGCCTCCCCCAAGTTGTTGCGCACCTGGGCACAGGTGGGAAACGTTGGTATCTCAAAGCTCTCTACCCCGTCTGTGGTACACAATAGGATACGCTGACCCTTCCTCCTTCAGTTCGTATCACATGGAAAAACTTGACTTTCTAACTCTTTATGGGAAACAAGCACTCCCCATCCTTCCTTTAGAAGCCTCTCTCTCTCTCTCTCTCTCTCTCTCTCTCTCTCTCTCTCTCTCTCTCTCTCCTTCCCTTTTCTTTCCCTCTCTCTCTCTCTCTCTCTCTCTCTCTCTCTCTCTCTCTCTCTCTCTCTCTCTCTCTCTCTCTCTTTTAAGTTAGAGAAACACCCAAGGCCAGTGTGCCCCACTCACCCCTCACCTGAGGGGCTGGCTTAGGAAGAAGGGACTGACTGGGACTGAACAGATCTTCCAACTAACTCAGCTGATGGGTATGAAAGAGTAGTAGCTAACTTTGACGAGGAGTATCGCAACAGGTCCGTGGAGATTCAGGTGTGCCCGCGGTGGGAAGGGTGGGGGATGGGAGGTTCCGGAGAGGAACCAGGAAAGCTCCTGGAGGGATGGAGGTACCATTTTTTCAAGGACTGTGGGACACTTAACTTTTCCTTGCAAGGCTGTGGATTGCCCCGAGAGGCAAGTGTTCCTTCCCAACATTTCTCATTTGAATACATGAAAATAGGAGTTGATCTTGGCAAGGTGAAACTCTCTCACGGCCAGAGTGACGGTTTTGTCGCCCGCGGGCGAGGCCAGGTGGGGAGCAGCTCCGGCTTAGACATCCGGCTGCGTACAAGCCTGGATCACGGACTCTGGGGACTTTCTGAAACCTGGCGGCAACTCAAGGAGCAAGAGAACCCAAGGAGCAATAGAACCGACGAACTCAATGCCTGTATTTATTTTCAGCAAAATAAGCGAAGGCCCTGAATATGCGTACGTGTAGTGCAAAGGCACACCTGGACAGGTTTGCAGCCCAGAGCAGTAAAGGATCTGGTTATAGCACTGGCCAGACAAGGCCTGTCAAGTGGCCCCAGGACTCCCACCGACTGGAGACTGGATGTCTAGCTCGCCGTGAACTGATTCCTTAATGAGGATTTAATGGCAAAAGAAAGAGTAAAAAGGAACGCGTGGGGGCAGAAAAAAAAAAAAGGGAAAGAAGCAGTGATAGAACAGCCACCCCCAACCCCCCCCCCCCCCCCAGTGCTTGCCCTGAGCTTACCCTGGTTTGGGTAGTAGTGAAGACCGCTGGCCAGGGCTGCCTGGCCACGGGAGACCAGGGCTGGCTGCTGAAGGCTCCAGGCGACCTCCCCAGCCATGCGCACCTCAAACCCTCAGGGCAAAGCACAAACAAGTACCAAGGGATGCTTCCAGTGTAGCCTGCTGGGTCGAAGTCGACTTTGAACCCAGTTAAAGACCCTGGCCTTTAGAATTAGACTTCGAGACTAATTCCCCGCCCCCCTACACACACACACACACACACACACACACACACACACACGGACAGGAGAAGGACTTAAGCTTCTTATCTGGTGGGGGGGGGGGGCTGCGGAGGAACTCGGACCACCCGGCACCGGCACCTGCACCGAGCTTGGCCGAGGCCACTGCATTCTTGACCTGGCGAGAGTCCTGAGATGAGAGGTAGGGCCAGCGGAAAACGGGGCAGACTAGAGAGACCCAGAGGGGGAGTCCTCAAGAGACTTCAGCGGTAGCACCACAGAGGAGGTCCCCGCTCAAGGTCCTACACTCCGCCCACCTCTCAGTTCAGCCACACTGGAGCATCAAGGGCACCAGCTGGTACCAAGACAGGGTCCTACGGTCTTTTTCCTCCTTTCATCCCATAGAATAGCTGTGGGAAAGGCCAGGTCAATCTGGGAAGGGTAGGCTAAAGCAGACGAGTTGGTCAGGGGACCTTGTCATTGAGCAGGCCCCAAGGGCTTAAACAGACTGAAGTAACAAGGAAGGCCACCTTCCTGGCTGCCCTGGCTTCCTCAGTTTACTGCTTTGGGCTACCTGGGGCACCTTAGTCTGTGGCCTATGGTCCTCGCTCTGGCAAGTTCCTTCTTGGGGCATTGCAGAAGAGTCAGTCCCCCCAGCTCATTTCTTGTGAGTTCGCTCCGTGGCCCAGAGCTAAAGGCAGGTTTAATTGCCCATTTTTGCTATGGTGTAAGGGCCCACGTGTGGAAGATCTTAGGAATAAGCAAGGTTTGGGAGGCTTGGACTTGGAATCCGAATGCCAGCAACTGAAGAGAAGACAAGTCAGCCTGCCTCCACTCTCTCTCCCGCCCTCCCCATAAGTGTGTGTGTGGGGGGGGGGGGGCAGGTATCAAAGACTTGGAAAGAAGTGACCCTACCGTTTCACTTTTAAACCTGAGGGAAACTGGCTGCTTGGTACACTAAAACTTCACCAACTGAATTTGTTAGGCGTCTGGAAAGGCAGAGAAGTCATCCAACTATGGCTTTTCCTTCTCCGTGGCTTCAGATGGTAAACTGAATCCTGGCCACCTACCGCCTTCTCCAGTTCAATCCAGTCTAGCCCAGTGATGTTGAGAGACTATACATACAGGAGGCAGCTGTTTGCAGGAATTGGGCCACCGACCCTAGAACGCCAGGATCCAGGCTTTAAACCCGCCAGAATCCATTCCGTACCACCAGTCTTGGATTCTGAAGATGCTTGTGAGAAATTTTACTGTGGTTTCACACTTTGAATAGCCCCTTTCTCCTGTTAGGTAAACTTGAAAAGGGGGGCCTAGTAGATTTGGGAAACAGACTGAAAGAACCTGTGATATTTTAATCAACCCCCTTCCACATGACAGGCCATCCCCCAAGTCATCAGCTTTTGATGCACTATATAAAGCTATTACTAAGTTGTTACTTCCCACAGGAAATGTCCAAGTCATGCTAGGTGTTGTAGAAAAGCCAAGAAGGGCATCAGAGAATCAACCACGAAGGAACAAGGAAGCTTCTTGGCCCTGAAAGTCCCCAGGACCAGACTGAGGAAGCTAAGCATCCGTGTGTTTTACCAATGAAACGGATCCTGCTGTTGGTGGGAACTTTGCACATAAGAATTAGCTTCTGGCACACACCCACAGGTACATTTACACAACTGAGGGGAGTGACTTCTAGTCACAAGAGCAGGCTACAGAAGGAGAGGGTTGTCTGCTCTGCTGAGTTCTAGGTAGATGTGATTGCATTCATTCCTTTGCTTACAATATCATGTCTACACACACACACACACACACACACTTTTTGTTCACAGAAGGAATTGTAATCCAACGCTTTTATCTTTCTTATTTCCTTAACTACACATCTTCACCTTCTCTGCTCCCCTGCTGATTTAAAAGATTTGTTTGGTTCAAGGATTTAAGGTGATTCTCTTGCCAGATTTCAAGGAAGAAAGATTTAAAAGAACAAAGCACGGGGTGATGGGGGGGGGAATCTATTTGGAAGACAAGTAAAAACGCATTCCTTCAAATGAGATTAATGGCCTTAAAAAGACTTGGCAAAACAAGAATATTTTAGTATCTTGGTCACTTTAGCGTTTACTTTATAGCTCTTCTAAAGGAAATGTCGTAAATCTACAGCCTGGCGCAACACACGCAGGGCCACCGGTCACACTCACTTAGAAACGCACTCGGTAGTTAGACATGTTCACAGACATATGCAGTCAGTCACTCAGAAGTAGGCACCTTCTCTGAACCTATCACAAACTCTGTCTACCCAGCCGATTCTTTTTGATTAGCCTCTTTCCGCATGACAAGAGGACAAGCCACTACCTAGGAAGAACTGGAAGGAGGCAAGAACTTTGTGTGGGGGAGAATTTCCCACAGTCGTCCGGGATCTTTTGAAAGCCTGAGATCCTAGCCCCTCTCCTCCAGGTTAGAAACCGGGCACTACTGTGGACTGACTCAGGCTGGCACCTCGTTTAGCGTGGCAAACGCGTTCCAGCACCCAAGCCCTGTGCTCCCAGTTTGTGCCGGTGTTTAGGGAGATGTCCCCTCCCACTGACCTTTCTCTATCAGAAACCAGACGGTCGCCTCCAGCTCGGTCCCGGAGGCTGCAGAAGGGGGGTTGGAGGAGGAGCCCGGCAGAGAGAGAGGCAGGCCCTATCACACAAACATCTGCTCTCCGTTTCTTCCTCTTTCTGATCGCTGCAGATGACAAGGGGAGTGGAGTGGACTGAGGCGGAAAGAAAAAAAAGTTATGTCATAAAAATATAAAACGGTGCTGTGACTCACCTGCTCTTAGCCGCAGGTACGAGTTTCGTGGCAGCGCCTCCGTTCTGCTAGCCAGGAGCCCAGGTCGGCCTAACGTCACCTGCTCGACTGACTCAGATGACTGGGTTTCTAGTGACGAGGCAAAAGTGGGGCTTTTCCCCTTTACAAGCCCAAAGCCCGGGAAGTGGGGGTGGTCGGTCTCCCAGGGTAGAACTTTGGGTCTAGAATCCTAGAATCGGGGTGGAGGAGCAAAAAAGACGAGGGACCAAGAACCAGTAGCAGACAGGTCCATAAGGTAGTGAGCGCCTCCGGGAGGGAACTCGGGGTCATTCAGCGAGCACGGTCCCTGCGCTGGGGCTCTGACGCCACCGCCCCGGTCCTTCTCCCGCAGCACAGCTCTGGTCTAAAGCCCTGGCCTGTCCTCCAGGCACCGCCTATTTTTCTTTTTTTCCTTTTCCAAAGGGGGTCACACACACACCCGCCCCATTTTCCTCTTTCCCTAGCCTCGGGGTTTAAACCAATTACACTGCTTTGTAAACAAAGTGGGGGCCAGGTTTGGGGGGGAAGGGGGCTGGCGGGAGGGGCGCGGGGGGCGTGCGGCGCTGGCGCGGCGGGGCGGGAGGCGCGGCGGCTGGACTGGCGGGCGGCCGCCTCGCAGGTGCACTTCGGGCTTTGTAGGTGCGAGCGTCTTTGTGCGGCGGACAAATGGGGAGAGGACGAGGAGGTGGGCACTCCAGCGACGTAAGATCCACATCAGCTCAACTGCACTCGCTTCGCACAGGCCGCCCGCTCACTTCCCGCGGAGGCGCTGCCGGGCGCCGCGCAGCGCGGCCGCCTCCCGTCCCCGGCGCTGCCCCCTCCCGCCGTGCCACCGCCACCGCCTCCGCCGCGCACGCCGCGCCCCGCAGCGACCGGCTTCCTCTTCGCTGGGGTGGCGCTGGGCCCTCGAGCGCTCTGGTGACCGCCGCGGCCCCGCGCCCCTCCCCCGCTGCCGCGCGCAGCGCACCCGCCCGTCGCTCCGCACAGGGTTGGATGGTTGCGCCGGGCAGGGTGACTCCAGGATGTTAGGGACTGTGAAGATGGAAGGGCATGAGAGCAGCGACTGGAACAGCTACTACGCGGACACGCAGGAGGTGAGAGGCGGGGAGGCGGCGGGGCGTCCCTAGAGTCGGTGTCCGGGGAGACCCCGGCGAGGTGGGCGCCTGCGGGGACTGGGGCGGGCGAGCGGGCTGGGGGCGGCTCGCCCGAGGCGCCGCTCCCACTGTGGCCCCCTCTCGGCTTCTCTGCCAGCCCGCTGCCCGGTGGGTCCTGGCGCTTGAAGCGAGAAGAGAGTTTTAGGAAACTCTGGGCTTTGAAAACACCCGCTCCGGCAAGCACTTGCCTTTGCCCTGCGGAAAGCGGGAGCAGGAGCCTAGCCCCGGGAGCCGCGGGGTGGCCGGCGGGCTCTGGCCGGGAGTTAAAAAGCAACTCGGAGAGTTGGTGTTCGCTCACTGGGCGGCCTCTCGGTCCCGCCACTTAATTCGCCAAAGCCTTTGGATAAAAATGATCTGCCGCGGAAGTTGGATTTCCTCATAATGAAGGATTTTTAAATTTTATAAAACTTACTCTTCAAAAGCCCAGTTTGTAGAAAATGTGACCGTTTCTCTCTAGAACCGCTGGGTGGCGCTAGTGCGAATCGAATAATTTTCCAGAACTCAGGGCCAAGAACCTGTTTCTCTTCATTGTCCCCTTGGTGGCATGTTCACGGGGTTTATTTTACATTGTGCACAAAAGCATTGCAAGGAAAATCAGGTACAGGCATGGCCGCTACCTATTAAAAGTACTTTTCTAGAAACAGCTGCCGATTTCCTTCAAAAGTTTAATTACCGTTATTGAAAGGAAGCTCTTCCTGAGAAAGCCTCGTGCGATCTTGGGGAGAGGACTAAATAATAAACCCCAAAGTAAAAACTACTTTAAGATCTGTACAGAAAAGCACAGAATCTGAAAATACCTTCATGTCAATTGATTCATTCGTCTCTGTGTTTATTTGGGAAGGATACCTTTTTTTGGGTCTTCATATTTAGGTCTATCCATCTCTTATGTTTTCAGATGGGGTTACATTTGCTGATGAACATACATTTAAGGACATCAATATTGTCAGTTAGATTACCAGATAAGCAGCTATATGTCGGGGGCTCTGTATTTCCTAACCACCTAGCTATTCTCTGGATTGCTACAAGTGAGGATTCCGCTTGCTGGTGGTTTTAATAGGAGCTCAGGCCATTTTCAGGGGTTTAATTTTGACACAGTCATCTCGGCCCACCAGAGAAGATCAGATCCCTACGGAAAGAGTTTTCTTACATCTCAAAGCCGAGAATTAGGAAGCAGAATAGCGCTGAGAGAAAGTAAGTAGAGTTTGGCTTGGGAATTTTAAATTATTCCAAACTACTCATGGAGTTTCAAAGGCCAGGCTTTGGTAAAAGGAGCAGCTATCAGTTAGTGTGTGTGTGTGTGTGTGTGTGTAATTGTGTTACCATTTTTTCAGTTGTCAGAGGATTGCAAACAGGTAACAGAATTGACTCAGGGTTTGTTAATAGCTTGCAGAGCTGTGCGTTTAGTCGCTTTAAGATAAATGTACGCTCCGTGTTGTTTTTATTTTTAATTTATTTTTTTTCTCGGGATTTTATTTAGCTGGTGTGTTTTCTTCTTTTAGAATATTGCCTCTGTGACAAGTAGGTGGAAAGCGTTACTTCTAAGTATAATAACAGAAAGCCATCTTTTGGCACCAACCCTTGAGACAAAGCCAGTTTGGGGGAGATGAGTAATTGGGACGGGGGATCTTTCGGGCATATAGGCGATTGACTCTATGGGTGAGAGTTTAAGGCAGCCAACACAATGCCTACTGTTCTGCGGCCAGAGGCGCCTGCCAGACCTCAGCAGGGTGGTGGCCTAACTGGTGCCAAGCTGATCACCCAGCAGGCCTGTGTGGAACCTATATCACCTTAGGGGTGAAGTGGAGAAGCAGAGGCTCAGACTTAAATTCTCTTTTCGGTGTTTCAAAACGGATTTGGCCCAAAGGCAGTTTGTCCAGGCTGATCTGGGGTGGCTACATGGGTACAGCCTGCCGTGGATGAAAACGAGGGGGGACCCCTAGAAACCAGCCCCTGTTCCAGGCATGTAAGGCGATTATGCATCTTCCCGGGGACATATTTTCTGTGAGCGCTAATCTTTCCTGCCTGCAGCGCTAGGATGTCCCCCCTGCCCTGTAAGCCATCTTTGCTTGGCCAGGGAAGGGTACCCAACAGTTTGCCCAGGCTGGGGAGTTCCTGAGCTTTGCAGAAACGCTGTTCGCTCGCCCTGGGGCTCGCCGCTGGCCAGCCAAACTCCTGGGCACACTACTAACTCCGCCCTTCGGGGCCTCTTCCACTCGCTGTCTCCGCTCCAGGCCTACTCCTCTGTCCCTGTCAGCAATATGAACTCCGGCCTGGGCTCCATGAACTCCATGAACACCTACATGACCATGAACACCATGACCACGAGCGGCAACATGACACCGGCTTCCTTCAACATGTCCTACGCCAACCCGGGCCTAGGAGCCGGCTTGAGTCCCGGTGCTGTGGCCGGCATGCCCGGGGGCTCTGCAGGCGCCATGAACAGCATGACGGCGGCTGGCGTCACGGCCATGGGTGCAGCGCTGAGCCCGGGAGGCATGGGCTCCATGGGCGCGCAACCCGCGGCCTCTATGAACGGCCTGGGCCCCTACGCAGCCGCCATGAACCCGTGCATGAGCCCCATGGCGTACGCGCCGTCCAACCTAGGCCGCAGCCGCGCCGGGGGCGGTGGCGACGCCAAGACGTTCAAGCGCAGCTACCCGCACGCCAAGCCGCCTTACTCCTACATCTCGCTCATCACCATGGCCATCCAGCAGGCGCCCAGTAAGATGCTCACGCTGAGTGAGATCTACCAGTGGATCATGGACCTCTTCCCCTATTACCGTCAAAACCAGCAGCGCTGGCAGAACTCCATCCGCCACTCGCTGTCTTTCAACGACTGTTTCGTCAAGGTGGCACGGTCCCCGGACAAGCCGGGCAAGGGCTCCTACTGGACGCTGCACCCGGACTCCGGCAACATGTTCGAGAACGGCTGCTATTTGCGCCGTCAAAAGCGCTTCAAGTGTGAGAAGCAGCCGGGGGCCGGAGGCGGGAGCGGGGGCGGCGGCTCCAAGGGTGGCCCCGAAAGCCGTAAGGACCCCTCCGGCGCAGGTAACCCCGCCGAGTCGCCCCTTCACCGGGGTGTGCACGGAAAGGCTGGTCAGCTAGAGGGCGCGCCGGCCCCCGGGCCCGCCGCCAGCCCCCAGACTCTGGACCACAGCGGGGCCACGGCGACAGGGGGCGCTTCGGAGTTGAAGTCCCCAGCCTCTTCCTCGGCGCCCCCCATAAGCTCCGGGCCAGGGGCGCTGGCATCTGTACCCCCGTCTCACCCGGCGCACGGCCTGGCACCCCACGAATCGCAGCTGCACCTGAAAGGGGACCCCCACTACTCATTTAACCACCCTTTCTCCATCAACAACCTCATGTCCTCCTCGGAGCAGCAGCACAAGCTGGACTTCAAGGCGTATGAGCAGGCGCTGCAGTACTCTCCCTATGGTACCACCTTGCCCGCCAGTCTGCCCCTTGGCAGCGCCTCAGTGGCCGCAAGGAGCCCCATCGAGCCCTCAGCACTGGAGCCGGCCTACTACCAAGGTGTGTATTCCAGACCCGTGCTAAATACTTCCTAGCTCCCAGGACTGGGGGTTTGTCTGCATGACCAACCTGGTAGCAGGAGAGAAAAACCAACGGCAAACGTAACCACACAACACGAAAACCAACCACATAACAAAAATCCCAACTCTTTATTTTTCATGCACAATTTTCCTCAGTGCAAAGGACTGTTACTTTTATTATTGTATTCAACACTTGTTGTGTGTATTATTACAAATACAACCAACTCCATATCAACATTTTTTTTCCTGCGAAGATTAATAATGATCCATAAATGTATATAAAGAAAATCTTCCTCCTTCCTTGCCCTCGTCCCCGTTCAGTCTTTCCCCCCGTGGGCACATCCTAGTCTGTGCAGGGCTTATTTAAAAAAGAAAATGGTCAAGTCTGTAAACTATTTGTTTGTGCTTTTTTTGTTGTTTGTTGTTGTTGCTGCCCCTCCTTACCTAGGCCCATCACAAGAGTTTACAGGTCTGTGGCAATACTCTTAACTCAGTAAAGAAAGGAACAGACAGTAAGGGCTCTTGAGAGTACAGAAAGGCAGTACCTGCCATGATGCCACGGTAAGGTATAAACAGGTTACATACGTGAGAGCCGTTTGTTTTCAGCTTACATTCCCCATGCATTCAGATAGCGGATGCCTTTCAATGAAATACACATATATATATATTGTCTGTGGACTTAGTCACACTCACACACGAAGACCTCGTCCACTTTTGCATAACATGTAGAGGTAATATGTAGGTATTAGACGCGCAACATTTTCAGAAATTGCCTGACCAAGTTACAAGGATCCCCTCCACGCTCGTTTGTCTTCTCTACCCGCACATGACCCCCCCCCCGCCCCGAACCAATTCCCTCCTAACTCTGCTCCTTGCTCTGCAGAGTGCCATGGCCATCTCATTCTGAGGTCACATGTATAAAATTAGCTTTTGTGTATGTATACCATTTAAAGGATACCCCGCAGGGAAAAAAAAAGGAAGTATATTATTGAGGAGAGAGAAGTTATAAGAGACACATTGCAAAATCGTGTCCCACGTTCCAAAGTCCCCGTTGTGGCCATTTTAGTTCTTGCCAGTCACACGCTCCCTTCATCCAGTGTTAACGCACTTTCCACAGCTGGACGCGGTGTTAGTCCTTAGACAAGCGGGTTCCACTCTGATTCCTCTTCGCCTCCTCAATGTTAATTTATTGCATGTTTTCTCCCGTTCCTTTACAGCTGAGATTGCTTTAAATGATGGTTAAAATTACAAATTTAAAAATGTTAATTTTTATCAATGTGATTGTAATGAAGATACTTTGATTTAAGTAACTAAAATAATACAAGATTTTAATCTGTGGAATATGTTCCCGATCATTTGCAGTTAAGGAATTTAAATAAATCAGATGTTAACAACAAAGAATTTCTGTCATTTTCCTTCACTTAAAGTCCAAAATAGATCTTTAATTTAAATCCAAAATAGATCTTCTGAATAGGATATTTTTCAGATTCTTGTATTTAATATAAATAAAAATGGTTTCATCTACAGCTTAAGCGAATGTGTAACGAGTAAAATGTAGTGAAAGAAATTCAATTAAAGTAGGCAGACAACCTACTTTATCTACTTTATTTACTTTATTCCTACTTTATTCCAAGAACTGATATTTTTAAAATTTCTTATTCTCAGTAATGTTTACTTTAGTTTTTATGTGGGGGTGGGACATGGGGTTTTTAAGCTTTCGATGTCTCTTTTTAGGGTGTTTTTTTTTCCTCGTTTGAAATCAAATTATTAATTCTCTATTTTTTCTAATTCGAGGGGTTTTTGAATGAGAAGAAAATAGCAGCTGTGGCTGTTAAAATTAAGTTATCTACCGGAGACTCTGAACCCTCCAATTAAAGGAGAAACAAAACTTAGCCTATCATGGTCGGTTTGGAGGGTGGGGAGGAGGGCAGTTAATTCATTCCTGCGGGGGAAGCTTTGTGAGTGTTTCAGGGTAGCTGCTGTTTTGTGTTTTGTGAAGATATTTTTGAAATATTGTTTCTAAGAACTTAAACCTGATGATTTGTTTGTCTTGTAAGAAGCTTTGAAATGCAACTTCACCCCCCCCCCCATAGTGGCTTGAGATCACAAAATCATTAATCTCCTTTGATAGTAGGCTCACTTTCCAGTCCACCTATTTCTTTGTAAGGCTTGTTCGGATTGACACCAACAATAACAGCAGCACCAGCCCGAGTCGAGGCTGGCCTGCCAGAGCCCTTGTGTGTGAACTCCATCCTCTCCAGGGCTTGAACTTGGGCAGTCTTTACTTTGATCGCAGCACTCCACGGCACAGACAAGATAAAAAGAGCCGTGCCAGTCGCTTAATTATCGCGTAATTACCTCCCTAGATGAGAGAAGGGGTGCCGCGTAGCACTTGAGAAAAATCCAGAAATCCCTGCTCCGCTTTCTGCCAGTAATGAAAGGAGGAGGGAAGAGAAGTTGCTGGCGTGAGTAATTTCAGAACTTAATTCGAAGTCCTCTAAAGGACCAACAAGCATACCCCAACGACGAAAGGGCTTTCGATCTCAACAGTTACACAGGTAACGGGTAAACAAACGCGGGCACATTCAAACTCTCATGTAAAATAAATGTGTCATCTTCGGCCTGTGCATTTCTCATGCGGCCCTGAGAGGAGGTTTGATTTTTGTGCAGACCCTTCCTCCTCCAGCTTTGTGTCGGCCTTAGTTCTTGCTCCTTTACGCTCCGCACAGAGTTTTCTGGGTTTGTGGGAACCGGGTGCCTGTGGTCCAGGCCTCTTCAGTGACGGGGGATGCGGGATGCGGGAAGCGAGAGCCGCAGCTCCAGCTTAGCTCACAGGCTCCTGAGGGCCGTGCTCGGGTCCCGAGGGTTTCTCGCCGGGTTCTGCGACTATGCTCTCTGCCACCTCGGGACGACGCGCGCCTCGAGACGCACGCGGGCTGGGGGCCCAGGACAGATGGTTGCTGGGGAAGAGGGGGCAGAGCGAACCGCGCAAGCATCCCGAGGTGACAAATGCAGTTAGTTCTTATTGTTTGGGCATTTTCCCCTCCTAGCGAATAAATCTTCTGTTGAGCCACAGACCTAAAAGTCAACAAAGGAGGCCGGGCGCCGGGTCTCTGGCCCACCCCGCGGCCAGCCTGGCCGAGCCACTCCCGCTGCGTAATCCCTTCCTCGGAAACCCGGACACACAAACGCCGGATCGCCGACCAGGGTGCAGCGCCGGGGCCAGGAAGAAAACATCTGTGCTTCCAAGGGCGCGCAGGGACCCTCCCGAGAGCACCGCCTGCAAGCGACCCCGGCAGCCTCCATCTCCGCCTCTGTCTGGCTTTGGTCCCCGGGTCCCTGATTTCTTCACCGATGCTCCCTTGGCCAGAAAGGGGACGCACAGGGTGCAGAGATGAGATTTTAGGAATTTTGCTCGGGGTGGGGGAGGGGCCGGAAGCGGGGGCAGCAAAGAGGGAAAAAACTTCCAACTGACCCAAGTGGAAAGCTCCAGGGGCCCTCTGATCCCTCTACCACGCCGCGGAGCAAACAGTCACACAGAAAAGCTTTTGGGGAGAGCGCGCATGGCGCTCATGATTACTTTCCACCTTATGTTTGGAAGCTCAACTCTCAAACCGTTTTAAACGCGATTCAAAAAAACAAAACAAAACAAAAGGAACACAAGATAAATTAAAAAAAAAAAAGGCCTATTTAGGAAAACTAAATAACTCTGAGGCGTTCCCAAGCAGACGGCAGTTCAAGCCGATTTCTGGGAGATCGGCGGAGACCACCTTAAATCTCAAAGATAAAATTCAGTTTCTGTTGTCCCTTCGTGGCTCTCCGCCCTGCAGAATAGACGAACGGGAAATAATAAGCGAAACAAACGCATGCTAGTAAAGTTCTTAACTTCTGCTTTCCTTTTTCAGAAGGCGGATTTTATCGAAACTGCTAAGCATTTTTTCTTGAGTTTACCGTTTTGAATGAGCCACTACAAGAGCGCATTCTAAGAATGCTAAAATTATAAAATTCTGTTGTTTTGTCATTTAAAATATTGATCTCAGTTCCATGAAAATGCTTATTAAGTTTCTTTACAAAAAAAAGAAACCTGCCGTGATCAATAGAAATTCTTTTCATTGCAGATGAAAGTGGGAGACCTGTAGCCCAAATTAATTAACCTTTCCTCAAGATCAATTGGTTTTCTGTTGATTTAGCAGCAATATCATAGAACATTTAGCTATAATGTATTTTAATGTGACACTTCAATATGTCAAGAGGGGAAAACTCATTGAAAAATAAAATTGCTTAAATTATGTAGTATGTATTTAGTAAAGTTTTTAAATTGTCTTTAAAATTAACTGAATTGTGGCTGTGTTTTGCAACTAAATGCAGCTAAGAGAATGCCCTCTTGATTCCAGATAATTGGGTGCACAAAGAGATTATTATAAGCCACCCTGACCTAAAAAGGTAATCAAAATATGCTTAAGTTTAGGTATAAAAATTACCCGAATTGAAAGAGTAATTAAACCTCAAAAGAGTGTCATGACACTAAGAATGTAGGCGCAAAATGCCACAGCAGAGCTCACAACACCCTTAGAACCAATCTACTGTGGAGAGAGGGGCTTTTAAAAGTAGTCAAGTTGGTAAGTTTTATTTCTACCTAAGGTATTATTTCGTGTGTTTAAATACATTTGACAGCAGATTTCTTTCAATCTTTTCCTTCCAAATAGTTGAGTTTGGGACTTAATGGTCCCACTGGAGTTTCTCATTTTCCTCCCAGGCCAGCTCCATTCATTGAACTTTGCACAGCTGGGATTGTAACCCTCGCCCCCGCCCCCTATTCTCCAGCCTTGTTAGGAAGCATTGTGGGACCGAGAATACCTAGGAAGTTCAGTTGTCACCTGTAAAACACACGTTTTCCCACTCCAAACACTTAAAAACCTGTGGGGGGGGCATTCGTTCATATACTAGCTTTCTTTCCCCCACCTTCGTCCCCACATCTCCAATCACTTTGGCCGCGATTCTAACACACCTAAGGCTCACTTTCCTTCTGCAGCCCCCGTCCCCCACCCGAGGCTCATAGGAGCCGCCCCAGGACACTTGGGAGTTCGCTAAGGCTCTAGTCTTCTTGGAATTTAGAGACAGAATACCCCTACGGTCCCTTAAAAATCTGGGAAGGAGAGGACTGTATTCTGGACTTTAGAATCCAGGTGAGATGTTAGTCTGTTGAAATCCGGTTCAGAACCCGACCAGGGACGCCGGGGAGAAACCTGAGTCAAAGTTCTTCTGGTAAGGTTGCCTTCCACTTTCCCCCCGCCCCTGAAGCTAAGAGAAACCACCTGGAAATTCTCCCCTCCACTCCAAGGCAATGCGGGGGAAAATAGGGAACAATGATTTGACTGGAATTCTCCTAGGCTGTCCCCCCCACACACACCTCCTCTGAAGCTGCTTGTCCTATCACGTCCTCAGGCTAAGGTTTTCTTTTTCTTCTTTCCTTCCGTTTCTCTGACACCAAGGAGTTGTTTTTTAAACATCAGTTTAATGAGAAAAATGTAAGGATCTCTGTGGAGGTTTGTTTCGTTTGTAGATGTAATTTAAAGAGTCCTTTTCGCACGAGGAAGGGAATAGATATCTGGTATCTTCTGCGCTCCCCAACACTCATTTTCTCTGCATTAACTAGGGGTCTGGGACGTTTGGGAGAACGTTTGTCTAGCTCTGGGTTCCACCTGGGACTTTGAGCTTCATTCCTAGGAGGCAGCTAAGAACTCCAACCCCACAGCTACTGGGCAAAGCTGAGCCCCAGCTCCCGCCGCGTCGCCCTAAGCTTTCCCCAGGTGGAAGCCGATCCACTGGTTGGGTCTGCATAGAGCGGTGAAGTGGGCAGGGCATTGTCCAGGTTTCCCGGCCTCTCCCTAGAGTCACAAGGCCTCCTGCCGACACGCGCTTCCTTTGTGTTATGCCTGGCTATTATATTAATGGGGCGGATAACCCGGATCCTTCGGGTAGAGGGAGGAGGTCCGCGATGGGGTGGGCCCTGGAAGGAGCCGCAGGGTTACTGTGGCCAACTCTGCCACCAAAGAGTTGTTCAGAGGAGGCCTAGGGTGGAAGGCAGATCGCTTGGATCCAGGTGGGGCAAGTTCGCTTTGGGGCAATGAAAATAAAAGGCCGCAACAAGTTTTTACGAAAGGTGACCCAGTGCCCTGGATGCGTGAGAATTTTGCAGCCAGTGCGCTCCTGGGGCAATTGTCTGCCAAGAACACCGCCGCGTGCATCCTCTGTCCTTCGTGGAAAACCCTCAACTGTCCCATTTTGAGCACACACCTACACATTCAGACTGGGACTCGGGATTCAGAAAGAATGACTCCAATCAGCCGGGCTTGCGGCCCTCACTGAAACCCCTACTTTTCCGAAGGAAGGGTGGGCTTGGCTCCTAAAAGTTACCAGCCCCCGGAACTCTTCTGCCAACCCACTAAATCCGTAGGAGGACCCAGTCCTGGACAGGCCCCAGAGTCCTCGCCTCTGGGTGCTGGTCTTGGGTCCACCCCAGGCCCTGAGGACCGAGCCTCCTTCCACGTTCCCGCCAGCCCGCCAGACGGTGCCCGGGTGCCCTGAGACATATGCTGCCCGCAGGCCGAGTGGCCCGACGTGGCGCTCATTGCCGAGGCGGTTCTCAGCCCATCAAAAGCCCAGGCTTTCTTCAGCCTTATGGGCCGCGAGGTGAACAACAATGCCCGGGCCCCTTCACTTCAAAAGCAGCGATCAGGGGAAAGGCTCCCCCAGAGATTTTTTTTCTTCTTCTTCTCCTCAGCCTTTCATTTCTAGTTTTAAAAAAAAGGCACCAGCAACTCCAGGGCCGGGGCAAGCCTAATGCCCTTTGATGGGGATTGAATTCATTATCTCCAATAACACAATTGTGCTTGGCCAACGAAAAGAGCAAAGCAGGGCTCTAGCCCGCCCGAGGGGCCCGGCCAGGCGGGGCGGGACAGCCAGGCGCTCCGAGAGACCCGCACTGAGCGCGGTCCCAGCCCGCCAGTCCAGGCTGCGGCACCCCGGGGCGGGGTCGGGGGCTCAGCGACACCGCAGCACCCAGAGCGGGCAGAGGTGGGGCGGGCCCCGCAGCGCTGTGTTTACTCTGCTCTTTCTCGGCCTCCCGAGGCCACTAGTTAGCTCTAGGCATCCGGGGCGCGCCGGGCAGGGGGCCACCCAGTGGCCTGGCTCCTAGCACCCAGATCCCGTGGTCCCGGCCGCGCCCCTCCACTCCAGAGCTCTGAGCACACAGCCAGTCCTCCTGGCCCACTGCTGAGGATCTCCCCATTGGCTTTCAAGCTAGCCAGCCAGGAAAGGACGCCCAGGCTCCTGGGCAGGGTGGCAG